AAAGAGTGTTTTCTAAAAGCAAACATATTTATCTTGATATCATTTGACAATAGTACATTTCTTTCTTCTTTGCTCCATATATCCACTTCTTGCAAACATCTTACAACATAGAGTATTCACTTTTTATTATAAATTTAAACCTTTTTTTATAACTTGATCATCAGATTATATAATGCTAGAACATTGCTTACTGGTTTTAATGTCCTGTTCTAGTATTGATTATTCTCTCACAGGCAATAACACTTTTCATTCTATTTTTAAAGACTTACTGTGGTCATATTAAATGAACATTTTTTTTTTACGCAGACTTAAAGAGTAGAAGCAAGAAAATATGTGCAAGAAGTGTAAATACTATGCTCACTTGCTTACTAGGACCTTTAAAAAGATCTCCAAATCATGGTGCTGTGCCTTTAAAAAGTAAAGTTCCAATAAAAATCCATTAACTACTTTCAAATATAGCAATCCTCCTGTCCAGCTGTGAAAAGTACTAGATGATACTTATTTGCCATTTGTGTTATTTACGGTCCATGACTTTTATGGTAACTGGTTCCTATTATTGGTTTCTATTAATGTAAAACATAAGTGAACATAAATGAGGCGTGAATCATTTCTTTTTATTAGCCCCACAGTCTTCACTCAGTGCTTGCAGTAACTCCAGCTGTGACTTGTTAGTGATAACCTATTTAAAGAAGGATATCTTTAAGAATAAAGGCTGTGATTAGGATTCTTTGTCTGCTCATAGTTTCAGAAGGTTTCACTAGTTCATTGCAAGATCAACAATTACGAAAATAAAATAAAAATTAATTAGCAACACTTCTAAATCCAGAGTTGCCACTAAACTGTCCGGGGTGTAATATGGCACTAATTATACTCCAGGTAAGTTCTTACAGGTTAATACTAAAAGCAAGACATAGGATATGTCACTTTGACAGCGCAGGGAAGGACTTCCTGCAGCTATTTATCTCCGCTGTTAAATGGTAGGCGTTGATATGATCAGTTATTAAACAACATACCCTGGAAAAAAGATATATATGTGTATATGGAGGGTTGTGAATTATGAGCTTTCTTTTTTTTTTTTAAAGAATAATGAAATTAATATGGAATTAGACTTTTCGAAAATGTTCCAATATTTTCAAAATATATTATTGATGTCATTAGTTTGAATTGTATTAGAAAAATTGTATCCTAAGTCTTGTATTCAGTTCCCTTCCAGGTAGCTTTATAGTTAAATTGAAAACACCATGTTCTTTAAGGTAAAACATTATTTATACTATGAAAAGGAAAAGACTTAGGCTTTCTACTTAAGCAGAATCCAGAAGCAGTTAATACTTGTGTATCAGATTTTGTTTCACCAATATTTTTTTCCTGAGGAAAACCCAAGTTTTCCTAATCTGTTCTAACAATGTATTGTTTTAAAATAATAAATATTTATTAGTAGTTAAATAAATCTGGAGCGCACATTTCTCATTCTCTTTGGAGCTTTAGAGCACGTTATCAACCTTGGTGTTATCTGTAACCCTCTATCAAAATGAACCGCTTTAATTATTTTGGAAGAAAAGTCTTGCTACACTTCCCAGAGATTCGGTGTCCTCTTTCATCAGCGATGTGTCATGAATAAAAGAAGGAAAGAAAAGAACTATAACCCCACAATAAAACACTTACATTACCCTATACCTTTCAGGGGCCTTTCCGCGATACTGCTGAAGTATTGCGGCAGCGCTACAAGCCTCTGGAACCAACCTTGCGAGTGGCAGCATCAATCAATTCCTCACTAGAGAAGGCCAGAGAGGAAATGAAAAGGGAGGGATGGGGAAACTGTATACATGACAATGAGTAAGTTCTTTGTTTTTTTTCTTATATTGTTATGAGAATGTTTTCTTTATTCCGTTGCTTTCAGAAACCTTTCATGCCTGACAAAATGAAATGTCAAACCTGACAGCTTACTAGCAAACATTCTATGTACATACTTCTAAATTCTGTGTCCTTAGATTATAAAGTGTTCAGGGCAGAGACCCTATCTTGTAATTGTGTGACATGTGCCATCCATATCTATGAATCTAAAGAAGAACTTGTAATACTAATACTAATACGTGATGCAACAGATGGGTTTAACGGGAAATACAAAACCAAATGCAAATTCTGTTTCGCCACGTGCGCCTTGTCAAGGAAAAAACACTGTTTCAGTCTTTGTATTCAGGGAGCTTACAGACGATGGGAGGAAGAAGTGGTGTTGCACGCCAGCGGGACTTGCTCTGTCTCCTGGTAGAGTACCAAGGCTTGCTTGGAAGGGAAGGGAGCCTACGTTGCACGTGTTAGAACGTGATGCAAAAACTGCAATCATCTTTGAAGCAGTTTGGTTTCCTAAGCCGTAGCATCTGTAATAGTGTCAGACAGGCCAGTTCTTTTCCATACAATTCCAAATACAGACATAATCCATTCCAAAAGATTTAAGGCTGTTACCAAAATATTTCCAATTCTTTTCTTATCGTGATGGAACGCTTGTCCAATCATAATAAAAGCCTGTGAAGTCAACCTGCTCTGACTTTGTAGTTAACTAGAAAAAGTTGATTTGTCAACTTTTCCCTTGAATTCACTGCTCTTGGCAATCCTTTGACACTTTAATACCAGAATTCAGGACAGAAAGGAATCACTTTTCCTGATGAGCAGCCTGTGATTCCCTGGTTCACTGGGACACGATGCTTTGCTAGCTTGGAGCTGTTTCAAGCTTTTTGATCAGCTCCATGTTGCCACGTGTCGGCTTCAGGACTGGGACTTAAGCATGCCAGAATCAATTGAGTTTGCATGGTTTGGCTTTTATTTTTTTATTGCTGGATCGTTTTCCTTGCATTTTCCCTGATTTAACATTAAAAGTGGCTTTAAATGGAAATTCTACTCACACACAGTTTTGAAAGAAAAAAATCTCTTAGTTCAGCTACTTTTCCACTTTTAGGCAATGTTATTTTTTTATATTTGGTGCCAAAATTGAAAAATAGTACTTTTTATTACTTTAATACCAAAACCATAACTGAGTTAAGTTACAAGTAAAAATGTACTTCAGTTTTCTATTCCTCTCTGTAGTCTTTCTTTCATTGGGGTGGGGGGAAGTGGCTTAACTTCCACATCTCAGCTTCAATTTGGGCCATTTTTTTTTAAATTTTTATTTCTAGCTTCTGCCAGTGAAATTTAAAAAAAAAAACCTAAACCAAAATAAAACAAACAAAAATACCCCCCAAAACTCAAACAAACACTAGGTAATAATTAATGTTCTACCTCTCATTTAAAGTATTCTTCTCACTTAATAAGTTTTGACTAATGCATTCCAAGTGAGGATGGATGATATCCTTCATTTACAGGCATGAGTATATTGCCCAGTCTTTATTTGATGTTTATCCCAGCCATCACTCTGTCAACAGATTCAGAAGGTCAGATCTTGTAATAAATATTTCACTGACTCTCTTCAGTGAGTGCATTGTGAAGCTTTGGTCTTGCGCACTTTAAATTTGGAGTCTCCAACGTTGACAGATATTAATTGATCAGGGATCTTTATTTACCTTCAGGGTAAGGAAGCATTTAGTGCCATCCTTAATGCACAGGAGCGGTGTCCTAACCCAAATGATTCTCAGCTTTGTGCGCGCTTAATGCATAGCGTATTATACGTTCTCAGGCTCTGATCATTCCGTTTGTGCTTCATATTCAACCAACCATGCAAGGGTCACATCTGTAACCTTGAAAAGGTGATGACAGAGTTGCAGGTCATCGTCAGGACTAACGCTCACTGGTAATGCTGCAGCGGCTGTGTGGGATGCCAGTCTCCAGGGAGGAGTCAGCAAAGGGTTACTCAGATTCTACAGTAGTTTTTTTCCTCAGCAGTGTCTATTATGAATTGACAAATTTCTGTCTCTTTCTATGTAATTGTGTACTTTGGGACTGTATTTCTTCCTGGTAGTGCTTCCTATGCTGATTTTTCTCCTATTTTAGAAAACAAGGAGAGAATGAACAGCGGAAGTGTGTGGCAATTGCTGAGAAAGCTTGTGTTTGCATAAAGTGGCAAACTGAATCCTCGAGCTGTGTATTTCCAGAGCGAGTATTGTGTGATACCTCTTAAGATAGAAAAATTGTCAGTGTCTACCTGCAATTTCTGACAACATTCAGAATTCCCACTCACCTCTGATTATCAGGGTTCTTTAAAGTGGCGATATGTTTCTGCTAAGTGTTTCAAGCTCTGAGAAAGTTTTTGCTTCTGATAAAATGCAGAAATAATTGAAAAAGCTGTGGGAGAGGTTGAGGCAGGCAGAAGCAGTACGAATGAAACCGAGAGAGATTGCTTAGTTAAAGCAACTGCTGGAATTTTTGTAATGAAGGAACAAATGGGTAATCTAGCCTAATAAGAGTGATTCCTTCTTCTCATGTAATTGAAGCTGTTACTGCCTTATTGTGTTATTTTTCATACAAATGAAGTGATTTCCCCCTCCGCTTGGGTAGGAATGACAATTGGACTCCTTCGGGATGGCCACTTAATAAACTAGTGCCTAGTTTGAGACACCAACTGCTGGATCCAGCAGATTTAGATCACTAAGCATGAAAAGTTCTTTACTCAGTTGCATGCAGCTGCATGCTGGCCTCATTTCCCACGGAACAAAAATGTAAATTATTTTCATTAACTTTGCTGAAATCTGTCTCGTGTAATATGCATCCTGCTTCTAAGTATACTATTAAACGTCTTTATAAAGTCAACGTACATCAGAATGTGTTGCAATGTGGTGACAGAAAGGGGATAAAGCAGCAGTAGCGTAAGACTGAGGTTTCCTGATTTATTGTAGTTTTCTGGGGCGACATCAGGCAAGGTGTCTCAGCTTCTGGCTACCTCTGTGCTCAGTGCTGTACTGGAGATAGCCAAGCTAGTCCCGAACGCACCGGTTCTGCTGCGTGCAGCAGAGTGCAATGTTTGCACACCCTGCCGCTCATGCGCTGTGTGAACCTTGCAGCACCGAGCTCCTTGTGGGCTTGTTCTCAGCAGGAGAATGCTTTCCCTTCGAACCAGCGCGGGTGCTTCTGCGCTACACGGTGCTGTGCGCGGAAGGTACGCTTATAGAGGAGTTAATGATCTAAATAAGCTCTGTACTTGGAGAGCATCAGTGGTATGAGCTGCCTGGTATTAATGGCAATAAAACTTGTAAAGCAAGTCGCTTGAAGATTTAAGATTTAAAAAAATATTTTCTTTTCTACATTTATAGGACCTTTTACTGTATTTCTGACTTAGCTGCAGTGAAAAAAAAAATGGCCACTACATTTTATCTCACACAAATATAACACATCTGAAAACTTTTTTCAAATTATACTTAGTTTTTCATATGCTTTGCAACTTCAGCAATTTGCATATTTTCCGGACTGTTATTGTATTATGATAAACAGGGATTATCATATATTTTCAGATAATGTTTTCTTAACAATTCAACTTCTATTTGTAACTCTTCCATTTATTTTAATTACTAGCACAGTGTGCAACATTTATTAATCAGCAGAGTCTTTTTAAGTTAAAATACTAAATTAGCTAACCCCATTAACACAGAATACTCCAAACAAGCAGTAATAGGAGAGGTAGTTACTGTGCAAATCGTATTATACATGCGGGTGCTCTAGGGCACAGTTAAGCATGATTACCCTCTTTTGATCCAGTATTCCTCTGCTTCTTCCAGCTAATTTCCACTGGAAATTTACAAAGTAGCGCCTTCATTTTTCCATCTTAATTTTTCTAATGAAGTTCTGGTACTTTATAACACTGGGGATGCAGATAATAAGTCTGTGTATAATTAAGAAGTTCCGGAATTTGCTGCAGAAGAGATCTCTTTTACTTCCTACAAGAGCTAGACTGTGTTTTTCTTTGCCTCTTTACACTATCGCAGACAGGGGTTAAACAAAAATGGATGGAGGATTCTTAGATTTACTGACATTAGGATAAAAGTGATTGCTAGTTTATTGAAAAAGTATGTATTTAGTATATTACTGTAGACAATATTTGTAATAATGCACATCAAATAAGTTTCTTATGGCAAAAATACTGCGATAAAGGTAATCTGACTAGATATGTTATGGAAAATATTCTTTTTAAATAATTTTTTTTTTGGTAAATAACACTTTGATTTTAATATGCACTCATTATGAACTAAATAATGGCTGCCCTGGTGCAGTTGTTTTGCTATGGAAAACCATTGTGCTTCCTTTGTTCCCCAGGTGAAAAAATAGACACTGATTTGATGAAGAAACTATTTCAGGTATAACCCGAATTTGAAAGCTTAAAATGAATTTCATGTTTTATTACAAGAAAAAAAAAAAGATAGAAGATGTACGGCTTCCCAATAGAGAAGCATAGTTTGTTTGGAGCTAATTGTTCACTGTTTTCTTCAAAGCGAGACAAAATTGTTTGATTTGAATTAAATCAAGACAACAAGGAATTGAATTGCTATTGCATAGAACCATTTTAGATAAAAATTTAATGCTGTAACACATCTAGAGTTAAGATTTTGGTAGTATTTTTACTACTAAATTACAAAAATGCACAGTACATACGAATACGATGAAAGTTTGGAAAACCATGTAAGCAGAATATTATTCTAGTTCTCCAGTTTTAATATTTCTGATTGTGCCCTGGTAGTGCAGCATGTATGTCAGTCTGGCAGTAGATCTTCTGCCAGTTCTTCCTCAGAAGCCTGGGTAAAGTTTGAAGCACTTGTGGTATCAGGATTACACGCTGCGCTGCTAGGCTGCTGGGATTTTGCCTCTGAGGCAGGTGCAGAGAACGTGCTGAAGGACCACTCTGGTTTTTAAATCCAAGAAAAA